TTCATTCATGCATCATTCATAACTTGGTGATACCATAAAATTAGCCTATAATTTTCTTCATCTTCAACCTCCAACCTATGCATACACGTTGACATTACATTGTGATGATATTTTGTTAGGGTGTCATCTAGACGAGGTTTGATAACATCCAATTAGGTATTGGGTTGAGTTTTGTAAGGGTCTTCATCTGGAAAAATTGCAGATTTGTTCTCTAAGATCATTGGTTTATTTAGGGGTTTTCGTGCAAGATGTTCAAGAGGTAATTTTGGCCCCGTGAATTCCTTTGGAGATAAAGAACACAAGGGATTCTTTGGAGATAAAGAACACAAAGGAAGTAGCGAGAGAACAGCAGATTACAATTGAAGTCTTGTGTTGTAATAGTTAAAATTGACGGTGCGCGAAAGCTTTGGAGATAAAGAATACAAAGGAGTAGCAACACCTAGATGGTCAATTTGCATCTATTGTGTCTTGGTCTTTCTCAAGATCAAAAAATGAGAAGGGATTGAATCAACAACAAGCATTAGGGTTTGTGGAGTTGCTCTTGAATACTTCTCTTGTATCAACTTTTTGCATAGTAAGAATTATCCTAATTCCATTGGAATTAGGTGCATGCGCATCCACACACAGGGACAAAAGTGGGGAATTGTGAAGACAAATTCCTCATGTCTCTTTTATTTTTGCTTTTACTTGCTTTGATATTCATCGATCTATTTGTCAAATAGCATTGCGTTATCAATTGAATTATAATAAATTTTCTGAACTGTTTTTTATTCTAAATCAAGTGTTGATATAGCTTATAATCACTTTTGATTATAAGTGGTTTTGTATATCAACATAATTCAAGGAAAAATTATGAAAATTCACTTGCACACCAAGTGTTTGATAATTTGATTTAGTTAGTTCTTTTTAATATTGTCATTGGAAATAGTTTTACTAGTAACTTACAATAAACGTTAAATAAGTTGTAAAGTGATTCAAGCATATTAATTTCATTATTTGTTCTTATTCCATATTTAATCTGTTTTTACGTTTGCATATCTAAGTTTCCAATAACGTTCGTAAAGACGACATCTTAAAAAGTTTCTGATAATCTCTTTGATAAAACAAGTTTATCAAAACCACTTGGAGCATAGTTGGTAAAGATGTGTGTGAAGCCATTAAGGAATTTTTCTCTCATGGTAGATTGCACAAAAGCTTTAATTGCACTATTGTTGCACTGATCCCAAAGAATGATGAGGCTAAAGCTATTAAGGAATACATACCTATATCATGTTGTACCACAATTTACAAGATAATTTCCAAAATTCTTACTTGTAGATTAGGCAAAATGATGAGTTGTATAATGAACAAGAATCAGGCTGCCTTTGTCTAGGGGTAACATCTTCATGACCATGTTTTATTGGCTTATGAATTGATGAGGGGATATGATATGAAGAATGCCACTCCTAAGTGCATGATGCAAATAGATCTACAAAAATCCTATGACATGGTGGACTGGAGATCTCTTGAGCATATTCTGCAGGAGTATGGTTTCCCTAATAGGTTTATTATGTGGATCATGATTGTAGTTAAAACAGTCTCTTATAGATTCAATGTGAATTGAAGCTACACTACTATTATGGAAGCTAAAAGAGGTATTAGGCAAGGAGATCTTATCTCCCCTTTTCTCTTTGTTTTGATTATGGAGTATATCACTAGGACTTCACATCAATTGGACAAAATTCTTGATTTCAACTATCACACTAAGTGTGAAAAGTTGAAAATTACCAGCCTTACTTTTGCAAATGATTTGCTACTATTTACTAGGGGAGATAAAAAACATGTTAAGCTAATGATTTGTCAATTTAACAAGTTTTCTAGATCTACTGGACTCAACATGAATCCTAGTAAATGTTCCATTTACTTTGGAGTTGTTGATCTAAACACCAAAGAGGAGATCAAGTTGTTAACAGGGTTTAAAGAGGGGTCCTTACCATTTAAGTATTTAGGCATCCCTCTGACAAGTAAGAAGCTGGCTATTAAGCATTATTTGGTGTTGACTGGGAAATTTTGAATAGGATCACTCATTGGAGCTCTAGACTTCTGACTTATGCAGGTAGGGTCTAGTTGTTTCAAAGTATTTCATTTGCAATTGTTAACTTTTAGATTTAGTGCTTGCCTTTACCAAAGGCTTTCATCCAAAAGATCAATGTTGTGTCCATGAGCTTTCTTTGGACATGTGGTAAAAAGGTCACTAGAAAGTCTCACATAGCATAGAAGAAGGTTTGCAGCCCTAAACCTCCAGAAGGGGTGAATATCATTGATATTGAGATATGGAACCAGGTAAATCTATGAAGCTTCTATGGAACCTGAGTAACAAGTCAGATAATATGTGGATCAAATGGATCCACACTTATCATGTGAAAGGTGATAATGTTATGCACATCATTGTTAAGGAAAGCTTCTCATGGATATTGAAGTATGTTCTGAAACAAAGGGAGACATGCCAACAATAATTGCATAATCAAATGCTTATTGGAGATAAATTCAAAATAAAAATTGTCTATAAGACTGTGCATAGTGATGTTCCTAAGGTCAGTTGGAGAAAGTTGTTTTAAAACAATGTGGCTTGACCAAGATCTCTGTTTGTGTTGTGGCTAGCTTGTAATGGTAAGTTGGCAACTAAAGATAGAATGCTTAGACTTGTTATGGTTAATGATGATCACTGCATGTTTTGTCCTCAAACTGAAACAATACATCATATTATGTTTGGTTGTCAAGCTCTGAGGAAAATATGGTAGGAAGTGTTACATTGGATACAAATTCAACATGCGCCTTTGGAATGGAACAATGAATTGCAATGGTTAACCCTTAGTTGCAAAAGGAAAGGTTGGAGGTCGAATATACTAAAGTGTGTTGCTGCAGAAACTATATACGCCATATGGAGATACATAAATGATTAGGTGTTTAGGAAAGATGTAATTAATACGGGGATTGAGGATGATATCATAGATACTATAGTTTATAGAGGGTGAACACATAAGAATCTTAGAAAGCACATAGCAACATTTATGATTTAGGTGGTTGTTAGGATTCTTATTTGGTTGCTTAGTTTTTGAGAATTGTGGGACTGGATAGTGAGCAATTGCCTTGTATATAGTGTTTTTTGAATTAATCAAAGTTTATCGGTTCAAAAACAATAACTATTTTATATTTTTCTAATAAACAATTTTTATTTTATTTTCCCGAAATCAAGCATTATAATTATTATTAAATAGCTATATTTTCATAATTATTATATTTTACAAAATTTCTCTAACTTTAATATAAGTACATTATTTGATTGTTTTTGAAAATCTTAAAAAAATTAGTCAACCTCTACTATTAACTACAAACAAAACAAAAAATTCATATTAAATATAATAATAATTTTAATAAAAAAATCTTATTATTTTTAAGGAACTTATTCTAAAATTAATCAGTTGACAATCTACTCCCCAAAAATCCAAAAATGAGTATCCATAAAATGAATAAAAAATATTATATTTACTTTTAGATTTAATATAATATATGTCATTTTTTTAATCAATTAAAACTACTTTTATTTACTACTATTAATTTAAGAAACAACCCTCATAAAAAAGTTGAATCAAGGGAACCAAGTACTTTCATGTCACTTTGAATAAATGATGTGTGACTCAACAATTTAGGACCAAGCATAAGGTGACATGGCCCTATAGTGTCCAAATCATCTGCTTCCACTTGCCTTAAAAAGAGTGGAAGTGAATAATTCTTTACTTTGATCATTCATCATTCCACCCATTAAAGTTCTTCTTCTTCACTACTACTAATATTCTCCACATCAGATCCACATAACCAAATGTCAAATAATTTAACATTTATAGAATCAAAAAAGTAAATGGTGGACTTAATTAGGACAACACATAAAACAATCAGTTCTTCCACTATTGTAAAACTAATGGTTTCAGGACTTTATGATTCAAATCAAATGCTTTATCATAAATTTATTTCTTATTACTTATTAGAATATGAGAATAAAAAACTCTGTCCAACTTTTTTCCATATTTGGAAAAGTTTTTTATGTACTGATACTTGAGGCTTAAACTAAAAATGTGGATGACAGTTTCTATGATAGAACAACTAAAAATTGTTCTTAAGAATATAAAAATATCTTTGCCAACACCCATGTGAAGCGAGAATCTGAAGGAGTCATAAATTTAGATTCTTGTTAGTGTGGTGGAAGAAGTATTTGATACGGCAGAGAAGGGATAGACCAACAAAATTAACACTTCAAATGCTCAAGTCAGTAACTGAGTAAAGAGTATTTTAGAGTGAAAATGAATTAAATACCTCAAATACCTCAAAGGACGTGATTGTGTATTCTCAACAAATGTTCCTGGACTTAACCTGTTGAACCTTGTAGACAGTTAAGATCAGTTATAAATGTTCTTATTGCAGAGTTGTCTTAGTATGTCCCACAAAATTAAGAACAAGATTTGAGTGATAGCATTAGAGATGTTCTAAGTTAAGACTTTGATTGCAAGATGTTCTAAGTTAAGACTTGGATCGCAATCGCATACCTTTTTCAAAACTCTGTTGCTAATTTAGACATATAAAAATAAGCACCCCAAATATATATTTTTGCTACATATTACACCACTAGTTCTTGTACATCAACATGATTGATGCATTTACACAATTCCTTGAGAAACCTTGGAACTACATATTTATTTGAACCATCTCATAAAAAGCTGAGAGATAATAACTCTTCATGCACAACACAGATCACTCTGCATATAACTACATTCTATGTAGGAAGATGCTCACTCAAATCTACTAAGTACAATCAAATTTCCAAACAAGTAATCAGAAAATCATATCACACATGTCCATGCTTCACTTCTGTTTACTAGTGCCAGAATTTTAATATCAGAGACAACATGAACTAATCTCTTCAAAGATTCTAATTCCTAAGGAATAACTTAAGTCCATATGCCAGTTCATTGATGCTGCATAGATTGCATTTGCAAAATAGTTTCAAACGGCGAAAACTGGTAACCATGGTGTGTGCCTCGAAGTACATTACTACGCCTTGGTGATTTCGATTCGTGTGAAGAAATCCCACACAATGGTGCCACAAACATGTTTCCTTTAGTTGAATTGAAAACAAATGGCGTAATCTCATCTTGTGATTTCCAGTCATATTCCTGCTTAACCAGGTCAAACGAGATAGGGTTCTGTGGTTGATTCGCAGGCTGAACCGAATTGTCCAGAGAAGGTTCTGATGAAGGAGATTTTGTTTCTTGGAGATTCACCACTGTGATGTCATGGATACTTGATCTCCTTTTATCCTTCCCTCCTGAAACTTGCCTTATGAAATACTTCTGAGCATGACTTGCAACTTGAGTTGGTGTCCTTGTAGTCACGAAATTCCGAGAGATGTTTCGCCAGTCCCCCTTACCATACTTCTTCAGACCCAGCAGAAATTGCCTGTAGTAGATTAACATGTCAAATGCAAAGAAACAACAAGAAAAGCATTTATGAAGGCAAAATCATATAATAGTCTATGTGGCACCGACACTTCAGATTTCAGACAGAGGATGTGTATGTCTGGTGTCCAACACTGACATGACACTGATACACGTAGGTACATCCAAACACTTCGATTATCTCAAATTATTAGCAGTGTCTGTGTGTTAGTGGCATGTCAGGTGTATGTTCTTCACAAATAATAATTAAACACGGCCTTATAATTGCTCAAACACACAAAACGAATTAACTTTCCAAATCTTAAACAAATTAAACACATCCTTATAATGAGATCGATGATGTTCAACTTCAGAAATCATTTCAAAATTTCATCAATTCCAAGGACAATCGCCTAGTACCTATGATTTTGAGGACTAAATTGATGATTCACATCATAAATTTGAACATTGATCTAAATTAGTTCATAACGTACTTACATACTAAACAAATCAACAAAAACGTCATGATAAGCAAATTACCTATGCTCCTCTTCAGTCCATGGCACACCTTTCTTCCTCTCCTGCTCAGACGGTCGAGTCGAACCACTCCTTTTCCCACCAACACTGCAAAACTGCTTGAACTCATCATACCCTTCATCATTAGCCCAATCCAATGTGAAAGAACTAGTTGTATAACCAGGAACCGGTATCAAACCTGCTTCAATAACACAAACATCTTCTTCAAGCTCCCTATACTGCTTAATCACATCACCTACAGTTTTTCCGGGAATCATCTCTGCAACCCTTATCCATCTATCAGGAGTATCCTTATCATAGTAAGCCAAAGCATTCTCAAACAGTTTGTTCTCTTCTTGAGTCCACTTAGAACCCTTGTTTTCTTGAAACAACCAGTTCGAATTTTCGATATAGGAAGCCGGAGACAGAATTTCAATTTCTCTATTCATTGTTCCGGATAACATCATACTATAATCTAACTCTTTATCTCTCTATAATAGAGAAGTTCAAAGAGAGAGAAAGAGGTAGAGATAAGCCACATAAAGTGGCAGTTCTTATGGTCTAAGAAGCATATTATCAAACAGCATTTGGGTGGTGGAATCTGCTGCTTATTTCAGCTACCCAATAAACTAAGGAATCTAAAAAAGGACTAATTTCCAAAATCCAAGGAAAATTCCATATTTTGGTAACATAAGGTATACAAAATAGGGGTTTTTATAAAACTAATCAGATCTAAAAGAAAGGAAAAAAGTATTTTTTTTTTCAAAACCCAGATCAAAATTATGAACAAAGACCCTAATTCCTGAACCTAAAGTGCTTTTGAAGTTAAATTAGTAACTGGGTCAGTTCCAAAATGCATAAAAGGTGTAAATATAAAAAAGGGTAATTGAGAAAGAGAAAAAAGTTGTGAACTTTGTGATGAAAATGAGAATTAGCGGTTGTGAGAGAAGGGTGAAGTGTTAGGAGAGTGGATTAGTGAACAGAAATGTGTTTTGTTGGAAAGACAGCGATCTATGAAACAGGAATTGAGGAGTGAGAAAGAGAGAGGTCAAAGGGTGTGAGTTGTGATTGGTGGAGGAAATGTTTGTGGTGGCTGAGGAATTATTTATATTGTTTTTTAATTATGAGTGAATTATGGGAGCCACTTTAGTTAACTTTTGTGGGAGGTGAAAGTAAGGAGTGGGTTAAGCAAGCCCTTGGGACTCGGATAAAGATGATATTTACAAAATATCGAGTTCGATTTTTAAATAAAAATAATATTGAATCAATCTATTTTGATTTTCAAGTTGAAACTAAATTAGTCGATTTGCTATGCAGACTTGATCTCCGTCATAAAAATATATATATGTGTGGATGGTGCAACCACAATTTCCTTTCCTATTTATCGCAAACTCTTCAACTTCTCACTTACTCATTCTTTCATTTCACACACTTTTGATATTCCATGCTCAAGAAAACCATATCCTCAAAACCCTCTCATTCTAAATCCCAATTATTCAACGTTTTTTCTTATCAAATCCACCTTCTTCAACCATCTTCATTTTCTTTCCATGAATTCAAACTCATTGAGGAAGAGGGAGAAGAATATTGTAAAACTAAAATTAAAATCATTTTGAAATATTACAATGTTACTAGATTGATGCAACACCATAATTTCAAGGATCAATTTAGAGTATTTATTGTTGTTAAATTTAAGATCCTTTTGTTTTTGGAATATTATGATTTTTGTTTCGATTGTACTTTCTGTTTGGTTAGAATTATGCAAATTGTATATGATGATGACATTGCATATAGGGGTAGAGGATTTTGATGAAGATCAATGAAGATGGTGATGAAGATGATGAACAAGAAGGGGGAAGAAGTTGAAGATATCTAAAAAGTATTATGTGTTAATGATACACTCTTAATATTAACAAACCATCAAGATCTAAATGTGAAATTTGTTATTATCTAAATGTGAAATTTGTTATTACGATAAAATGGTTAATATTAAAAAAAACTATGGTGGTTAATATATTGGGTAACGTAATCATTTTTAAAGGACTAAATAGTAACATTTATATTTTTAAATTAGGGGATCAAAAGATGCATCAACCCTAAATTTTACATCTTAATATCTTTTTTTAAATAATTTTATGGATTAAATTAGTTAATAAAAATATATTTAAATGCACTTTTGATTTCCCTATTTAGGCGTCTTTAACTTTTTAGTCCTCTATTTCAAAACTCAGGGTCCCTCTATTTTAGATTCTTTGAGATTTTTTTGGCTTCACTATATTTTTGCATATCTGATAGTGGTGATTAGGATACAAATTTTATTTATAGGGCTTAAAGCAAATTAAATTTTTTTAACTTTTTGGTCCCCTATTGATTAATTAAAGTTTTTTAAAAAAATTTTTAGGGCTTCAAGCCCATTTATTTATAGCATTGGTCTAGTACAGAAGATAACAATAAAAAAATATGTGAACGAACTTTAATAACACTCATTAGAATAGTATTGCGGCTATGGAAAAAAAGGGTTAAATATATAATATCCCCTACAATATAGGCGAAATTCGTTTTACCCCCTGTAAAAAAAATCGAATCACCCCCATGTGAAGTAACTAGGAAAATGAACAATGAATTCGCCATCGAATGTTATTTATCCCGAAGAAGGGAAAGAAAAACATTGAGTAAACTTGAGAGAAAACAAGATCTTGCGACCAAGAGAAGGGTGCGGGAGTCAATTACGCAAGAAGAAGATATTAGCACCCCTCACGTTCGTGGTACTCCACAAGATCCACTCTTGTTGTTCTAATCAAAAGGTGTGTCTATCTAAACTTACAAGCTACAGGAATGCATGAAAGCAAAAGAAAAATGCAGGGAAAGCAAAGGTTTTAAATAGTTATGCTCGCTTAGCCCCTGCAACCCAATGCCTACTGTAACGTGGTGGGAGAACTGACTTGAGTGTTTTGTGTTTGATCACAATTGTTGCGGATAGCAAGAATCGCCACCAACTTTTCTTTTATCCAAAAGGAAAGGCTGAAAAGAACAGGAAAGACCTTTCGAGATATTTTCTTGAGTTCGGGGGGTAGGTTATGAAAAGGGAAGGTATTAGCACCCTTTTCATCCGTAGTTATCTACGGGCTCTTAGTTGCTTGCTAAATCACTTGCTTTTGTTTGAAGATATGTTTGTGAGTTTTGAAAGTATTTTGAAAAGGAGTCTTTGTAATGGTTCTCGTCTCTATAAGAACGTGTATAAAGTGTTTTGTCTTTTGAAAAATGTTTCAAAGTGAGAGTGTTGGTGTATAAAATATTTTTATTGTGAGTAAGCAAGCAACTAGGAGTAACCTACCTACTCAAAAGGTCTTAAATGTTCTTTTCTTCCTCCTTTAGATGTTGTTATCTCACCATTGTTTTGGTAAGAAACTCCATCGTTGGATGTGAAGGGACGGGCGAGGGACGTTTGTATAGTCATAAAAGGCAACCTATGGGACATTTTAGCAATGTCGTTAAGGGACTAGATCGTTTATCGAAGGCAACATTGAGGGTCATGGAGGGACTACGATCTTTTATCGAGGGTCTTTACTAAAACGCCCATATTCGAGGGACATGACTATTTTCTGAAAGGCAATAAAGCGGGATTACCCTAAGGGTGCTAGTGTGCAAGTGTGTTTGATTTACATGCATTTAATCTTGATTAGGGTTATCTATTTGTTGATTTTATGTCTTTCCATACACACCCTAATTACTAGCATTTATACTTGAAAGCAGTAAATTTGCGGAAATGTAAAGTGCTACGCTATTACATCATTTAGGGATGGGGGCACATAACTACAAATGGGGATTTGCGAGAATTTAAATCCTAATCATCTATTACAACCATGTTGAATTGTACAATATAAGAAAAGGAAAAGACTTGCTTTAAAAATGTTTTTTTGTCTTAATGAATTAGAAGAAAAAAATATATATTTTTATGTCTTTTTTATATTAATAAAAATAGTACTAATAATAAAATAAAAGAGAAAAAAGGAAAAATAAAGAGAAATAGGATCAGCATGTTAATGAAAGAAAAACAAAGGGGATCAGAAGTTCCGATGCCAGGCGCGCTGTGGTTCAGAATGAAACGTCCAAGGTAATCAGAAGTTCTGGGTTGATGCCATTAGAATCCTGAAAGAAACGTTAGAGGGAAAAAACATAAGTTTTGTGTTGTGTTTAGACAGTGAGCAAAAAGTCAAAAGTTTTGTGTTGTGTTAAAAATAGTGAGAAAAAGGTCAGAAGTTATGTGTTTGTGTTAAACAGTAAGTGAAATTCAGAAGTTTTGTGCGTGTTAAAAACAATGAGTGAAAAGGTCAAAAGTTCTGTGTTATACTTCAACTCCTTCCTTACATCAATCATCTCATCATCAACTTAATCAGTTATTAACAATAACAAATCAGAAAGATAAACGCACAACATTTTTTAGAAGTTCTAATCCCAATTCTGAGCCTAGCTTTATTCAAGAAGTTCTGATCCACAGTTTTTCTACTTATGCAATGACATGGACAACATCAATACTATGATATTTACATATTTAATGATGTTCTGGATGAAAAGATTCAAAGTCATAAAGACTTACCTTGAATCTCAAGTGTGGGTTTGGGGGTTTTAGTTGTTGTCTTCATATGCTCTGGAGTCAGCAAGAACAACGGAGCAGAAAATGCTACGCTCTTTGATTCAAAGGGAAGAATAAACGTTTTGGTTTTGTTTAGGAATTCAGGATTCACGAATGTTTTACTATTTTCTTTTCTCTCCTTGATGATTCTCTCTCTCCAAGAGCCAGCCCTTTGAAAGTGTGATGGGGAAACTTATTTATAGGTGAGTTTGTTGTGGTTTTGGGGGGAAAACAAATGGTATTTAAACCTTTTTGGCACACTGTTCCATTTATTCTTAATCACAGCTTTCGTATGTTAATTTGGTGCAAACATGGGGTTTGAGAAAGTGCAGGCATGGACTGGATCAGCAGTTGGTTGCAGGAATGTGCTGTAGCAGGGCAGTAGGCTGCTTAAACGAGGTTTTGAGATTTGGTGATGTTCCGATCGCAGAAGACCATAAACGTAGCATCCATATGCTGAAGAGTCATGTTCTGACCGAAGAACATCGCTTCCATATGTTCTGATTGAAGCATCATGTTCTGAACCGTGTTTGCAAATTCTGGTTGCACTTGCGTGAAGGATGTCCCAGAAGTTCTGAAGTAACATATTCTCTTAACACTTAAAATTTTTTCTAAATGTTTAGAAATTTGATTTTTCAAAGCAATTTCTGACTTTAGATTTCTTGAGGAACCAATTTCATGTCTTGATGAAATATGATTGTTGGGACTTGATTTTTGATCAAAAAGTCAAATTTTGACTTTTCAGTATGCTTTTGACCATTTTGCCCTTGTGAATGACTTTCTTGGATAATTGTAATCCAAGACTTGAAACTTGAT